GTTGCACAATTTCTAGCAAATTCTCAATGTCTAATAATAAATACTTGATAAATGTAAATTGAATACCTATGCATCTGAGGTTAAGCATTGCAAATGCGATAGAGAATTAAAAATATATGTATCTTGTCTTCATGAAGTTTACAGTCTAGCAAAAGATTTGGTCTAGCAAGGGATGGTAGAGCACATCTGAATACTAGCAACTAGAGAGGCTGAGGCAGGAGGATTGCAAGTTCAAGGCCAGCTTCAGCAACTACGCAAGACCCTGTCTCAAAAAGAGTGGGAGGATGTTTGGGGATGTAGCTTAGTGGTTAAATGCCACTGGGTTCAGTTCTCAATACACACACACACACACACACACACACATAATTTAAACACACTGAAGTTAAGCTTTTGGTGGCAAAACATTCAGAGAAGGTACATATTCTATGAAAGGTTGCTGAGAGGAACATTTGAAAAGGAGGAAATATCTGATCCACTTAAAGTATGAATTAGACAGAAAAGGAGGGCCAGATTTATGAAAGAGGAAATAAAAGAAAATTCGAGCTAAATAATTGGCAAAAGGGTACAAAAGTGGTGAAAAGAAATTCTGTCCAAGCCATCATTAGCAAGAGCCTTTAAATTGCATTAAATAATTTAGTCTATTTGGTACACAATGTGGACCACTTGCGTAGGTTTTAATCTTTGAAATCAGATGAACAGATTATCATTTCAGAATTGTCTCTTTAGATGTACACTAGGGAACCTATTGAAAATGCCTGTTATATGGAAAATAATTAAAATATGGGAAATTATTTATGAGTGTAAATTTAGAAATCCAATACAAAGTAACTTATAAGTGGAACTAAACAATAGTGAAGGTACTTCATGCCAAACCTTGTTGAATTGAACTTTAAATCAGAATCACATTTTTTGGGGGTGCGCAAAGCTTGTTTTAGAAAAGAACAGTTGAAAATCCATAAGGTCATTATCTGGGACTAGGAAAAGTGAATGAGGAGAAACACAATGAAGTTGAGTTGAGCAAGAAAGGCTTCAAGGAAAGACACTTCCCTCCTTCCTGGGTGTGCTGTTAACTGACAGGTTAATGACAGGCATCCTCTTCTGGGATTATCTAAGATGTAGGCAGGTGCTTTACCCAAGGTCATGCTCTGGCCTGAGACAGCCCACCTCCAATGACTAGTCCAGGCAGGGTGCATAGACACACACATTTTGCCCCTATTCGGGACAACCCAGCTTGGTCTTTTCAGCTCCAGAGTTCCCTATGTGTCTGGTGGGGTCTCCTGTGAAGCTGGTGTTGCTGTTCAGTCTCCCCCTCTGCTCAGCCCGGCTCCCTTTCCATCTCTTACAGAAGTGTGGATACGAGGGTGCTCCCTAGGAAACATTTGGCACACTAAATTAGGAAATAAGTATACAATGGTGAGATTCAACAAAGCCAAAAGGTGACTCACTAAAAGATCAAGAAAATGCAGAAATGCTTGCCAAATTTGGTTTAAAACTGAAAAGAGGTTATTTAAAAAATTAAGAATATAATGGGGCCATATATTAAGAGTAAACTTTGTATCAATGAATATGAATGCATTGATTAAAATAAGGAAGATTCTTATAGATTTAAAGTTTGCCAACTTTGACTCAAAAAGAAATTTAAAAACTTTATCATTTCTATAAAAATTAAAGAACTCAAACTGATAATTTACAATCTCATTACAACAAAAACACTGGGTCAGATGGTTTTCTGGATAAGTTTTATCAGATGTTCAAAGAATAAATAATTCTCATGTTAATTAAATTCCTCCAGGATATATAAAGGGAATGCTTCCAAACTCAATTTCTGAGACTAGAACAATCTTGATAACAAAACCTGGTAAAACTAAATACAAAATAAATACAATTACAAGCCAAATCACTTTTGAATTCAGATATAAAAGCTGAACAAAACACCAGCCTATCTAATCCAGTAGCATATCAAAATGAGAACATCTCATGACCCAATTCTGTACCTAAGGTAATCAAGATTGGTCTATCATTAAAAAAATCAGTGTAAATGATTTACCATGATAATAGATTAAAGGGAATAAATCCTATGATCTCAGCTGATACAGAATATCATTTGAAAATTTTCAACACCCATTCAAGACAAACTTCACAAACTACAAAAGAGAACATTCACAACTTAATAAAGGACATTTACTAAAATCCAACACAAACATCAGGTTAAGAATTGTTTTTTTAAAAAATCTATAAAAGACAATTATGTCTTAGGATGGTGGCCTGTGTTTTGGTGGCACTAGACAGAAAAAGATATAAAGCAATTATTATCTTGAAGCAGGATGCTATCTCATCACACACATTTTTGAGGAAGCACCTCACCTAGGGCTTTGCACATAAAAGAAAATGTCTCAAACATGCATATTGACCTATGGATAAAGAATGTCATGAGAATTGCCACCATTTCAGAGTAGTGTGTTTTGGAAATTCTAACAGTCTTCAGAAGATTCTTGCTTGAAGATATCCTCTGTTCTCAATCTATCCAAGAATGCACTATACCAATTATTGTGTTTTTTATATTCAGCTACCAAAAGATCTTCTTTGTCCTAAAACGTAAATTAAGAGTTTTTTCAGTATAAATTTGTAAATACATTTTTTAATTAGCACTCATAATAAAAGATTGCTCTAGCCATATAAATTTTCTTCTAGTGATTAACAAATATTGGGAACACATATAACCTTAAAGGACAATACAAGAAAGAGTAGGAAAATCACTTTTTAAGGCAGGAAGTTTCTAAGCTTTGACCCTGCATTGTTAAACAGGGACGTGACCTTGGATGAGATTCAAAATTTGGGGTCCCTATTTTCTACTGGGAAAAGTGCTACATGACTTACTCATTCATTCAACTTAAGAACTTATGTGTCAGACATTTTGTTCCTGTGCTTGTTACATAGGAGTTGGGGATAGGCAGTGATAGGCAATATGAAAGTGTATTTTGAGTCTCCACTTGCTGTACAGGGGTTCAGGGAAAGAGAGAATTCAATAGTCACTGATTTTCTAAATAAGTCTTGTTTCCTAGGTGCTGGCACAATGGTGGGTCCTCAAGGGTATTGGCAAGAATAGAGCTAAGTACTAAAGGCAACATCAGGATCTCACGCTTTCTTTGCAATACAGTAATACCTTGATTAGATAGGATGGTATTTTGTTTAGCTTTTTCAGCTCAATTCAAAAGTGGAGAGAAGGATGAATGCTAGTCTGCCAAAATTGTTCATATGACCTTGATGAAGTTACCCAACTGTCATCTGATGGGATCCTAAGATTGGACCAGAACAAACCCATGAGTGGAAGGAATTTATCTGGAATGTGAGGAGAAGAGAGGGGCAGAGGAAATTGAGCCAGAGAAAGGGCAAAGCAATGAAGAGTGTCTGCATGAGCCATCGTGCCAATGTGGGCCTCTGGCACTCAGTCCTTCTGGGGGTCATCTGAGTAAATATGTAAACTTATCTCAGATTTGTCCTGCCCAGAGACAGACCAGCCCAAATCCTTATCCTTTATTCTGTTCTCGCTGTGTGAGAGGTGTCCCTGTCCATTCTGGGCTTCCATGCCTGTGGACTGAGAAGTTCTTGACATGAGATATTGTGGGCTTCAGGTGACCTCAGCACTGGTCTTTGGGGATGTGGGACTGGAATCCACTGCATCTGCTATAGTAATTAATCTCATTCTTGACTTCCTGATTTGTAATACAAAATATAATTTGTACCATAGAGGGCAGTTGTGGGCATTTATTTTTTTTCCTATCCATTTTTTAAGAAGAAATGTTTTCTTTAAATGCTTTAGAGTAGGGGTGGAGACCAATGAAAATATGCAGCTGTTTGGTTCTCATAGCACATAAATCCTGTGACCTGGGAAGCAGGAGTCATAAACCTGCCTTGCCTTTATAATCCCCTTTGAGGAGGATCCAGGATTTTGATAGGGACCTGATGAAAGAGGCCAAGTAGAAAAGTTTGGGTTCACGGCAAATGTTTACTTAACTGACACTTCAAAAGCATTTACTGGAGAAAGAAGTTAGGTGAATCAACATCCCTCACCCATATCAGAATCATAGCCTGCGGCACTGAATTCTGTTGTGCCTTTGCTAACCCAGGGCCCACATGTTTGACATCTGCTTGAGAAGTTCCAGGGCTGCCTTTCTCATCCTGGTGTAGGAAGAGCCATATGAGGTGGCGTTAGTGAAAAGCAGTGGTTCTCAGACTGGAGAGTCCCATGGGATCACCTGGAAGGCTTTAGTAAAACACAGCTTGTTGGTTCCATCTGAGTTTCTGATTCAGTAAGTAGGAAATGGGACCCCAGAATTGACAACTCCATTATGAACTCAGGTGATGCAGATGTTGCTGATCTAGGAACCACATTTTGAGAACTAGTGGTTTTAGAGGAAGCTAGAACCTTATGAATGCATTAAAGGCATGGGTGGGAGTCACTATGTGCACCACTGAGGGTTGGGGAATGAACATAAGAGGGTCCAGATCCAGGCCAGCTTCTTTGTGGTCTTTGGAGATGTCACTGTTGGTTCATCCTCAAAATGTTTGCTTCTATTTACTTTCCATTCTGTACTTCCCCCCATTCTTAGCCCATCATAAACACACGAATCACCCTTTCTTCAAATCAGACTAGCCTTCCAAAACAGGTGTGTGCTTCCATAGAAAGGGTGAAAAAAGCTAGACTTTGCACAGAAGAAGATAAAGGACAAAAAGAGGAGGGGAAGAGAAGGAGAAAGGAAAGAGAAAGAATAGGCAATAAATGATGTTGTGGACATTTGGCCCAATGTCTATGCTGCCTGCATGTTTTCGTATACTTCAGAATGTTGAATCCTTGCAAATACTCTGCAAGACCTATTATCATCTCTACAAGGAAACTTAAATAGATCCCGAAACCTGCCCAAGTGTATGGATTCAAACCCAAAAGGCTTCAATTACAAATCTAGTAAAATTTCTACAGTTCTCTTTTTTTTTTTTTTCAGAGTGGAAATTAGAAGTTTATTAAAGGACAGCAGAAAAGACTTCTCCCGGAGTAAGAAGGGGACCTAAGAGATGGAATCCCTCTACAGTTCTCTATCCTCAGGAAAATTGTGTTGATATGGAGAGTTTACATGAAACTGGGAAGCAAAGTCATGAACCTTTTTCCTGAGTATCTGGATTTGAAGTTAGTCCAGGAGTGCTTTTAGATTGTGAAAAATTGTGCTGTAAATGGGTAATAATGAGTGTAATGCATTCCACTATTGTCATGTATGTAAAAATAAATTAATTAATTAAAAAAGATAATGCTAAGTCATCTTCTTATCTTTGTATCTGCCAATCTCCCTGCCTAAGAATAAGACCCACTCTATTCTACATAGAAGCCACTATATTGTGACTATCCCAGGATTAGTATTTCTTTTCTTTGGGGGCCCAGGGGTTTCAGGGATTTAATTCAGGGGTACTCAGCCACTGAGCCACACCCCAGCCCTATTTTGTATTTTATTTAGAGACAAAGTCTCTCTGAGTTGCTTAGGGCCTCACTTTTGCTGAGGCTGACTTTGTACTCACAATCCTCCTGCTTCAGCCTTCTGAGCCACTAGGATTACAGACGTGCACCACCATGCCTGGCCAGGAATAGTAGTTCTGATCCTGGAAGTGACTCCTTGATACATAGTTTTTTAGAATGATAAGGATTAGCCCAGGGAGGTGGACTTAGGGCCACAGGCTTGATTAAAGGAGAAGTCTGTGAGGACCTCACTGTCCGCATGGGGCCATGACAGGGCCCAACAACTGGATGGTGTTCAATAGCGAGAAATCCTTCAGTATCCCAGTAGAAAGTGCTGATTGAATGGCAAAATCATTGGTGATTTTAGGATAGTTGGTACTTTTTTTCAATTTTCCAAATCTACAAAAATGCTTCTAAATTTATCCATTTCAGTATGGCAATAATTGCCATTATTAAATTTAACCTGAAAATATGTAGGGTTTAAAAGAATGAGAGGTACAAGAAAGATAGCTTTCACTGAAAGATAAGGATGATTCCTATGGTTGAATTATTATCCAGATACCAGTGGTCTTGCCCAGGTATCCTGATACCTCTTGGGTGGTATTACATCTGATGATTCTGGACAAACATTTAGAGAACATATTGTGGGGAAACAGGCAGTGGGGATGGTTAAGTGCTGGGTTCTCTCTAGGCAGAGTGGTTGAAAGATTAGGATCTGGGACAAGATGGAAGTCCAGTGAAGGATCTGTCGCAATGATTTGGAGTACTTAAGTAATTTAGATTCAGCAGCATCCTGCTTAACACAGAGAATAGACATCTGTCCACCATTGCATGGGTTCGAAAGGAAACCAGACTGAAGCAAGAAAAGGCCTCTCTGAACTTATAGATAGACACAGACCACAGAAGTGTAACTTTTCAGGATCAAGATGCTTTTTCTAAATACAAACCAAAACCAACTTTGAAAAATAAATCATGAATGTATTCAAATATATAGTTCCTGACTTGGGCCAAAAGGGAAATAACAGGGCATAGAAGGAAACAGGAAGAGGTAGGATCAACAATGTCATTTGTTTGAAGCTTATTTGCAAAGAGAAAAAGAGATTTGACTATGAAGTCCCTCACACTCATGAGATAGAACACCGACCTTATAAAATTGCATAATCTGAGCTTGCTCTGCTAAAATTTTTGTCTGTACCCACATCATGACTTATTAAAATTATCTTAGAAGATGTAGAATACTGTGCACTGATAGGAGAGTGATGTTTAATGAAGAGCTTAAAACAATCCAGCACTTCCTCAATGAAAGAATTTAAACATTGAAATCAACTTGTGCATAAAAGGAATTTGTCATTTGAAGCCTTGTCTCCTCTTTCCTAGGAAGCATTCTGGATGAAAATTTGTCATCTGAGATCTTATGAGTGTGTGTGTGTGTGTGTGTGCGTGTCACACCTACGTGTGTGGGCATGGGAGTGCGCTTCTGCATGAACTAGCAGGTAGGGCAAAAAGAAAAAAAAAGTTTTAAAAGCTGAAGCTTAAGAAGCTCAAAGAGGCACCAACCAGGAACCCCAATCACGTTATAAGAAAGGAACTATGAAAGGGTACAGAGCCCCACACCTCAAACCTCAAACCTAGGGAATGGAGAAGAAAGAGAACTACAGCTCAGTGTGTAGTGACGGGCTGTGGAAGCAGGGACACCTTAGTCCCTGTCTGTGTCACTTACAGGTCATATTGACTGAGGGAAAGGAGTGCATTCCTTTTCTTATTTTATTGGTAAAAATAAGAAGATAGTGCCTACAGTGTGCAGTTACTGTGAGATAGAACTGAGATGGTACATGTAGAATAGTTTGCACAATTCTTGGCATCTAAGTGTCTAATAAATGCAGGCTAGGGTTATTAGTGGAGTAAACGTATATATTTCTAGGCAAATGAAAACTAAATCCATTCTGTGAACTTCAAGTGACACTCAGTATATAAGCTACATCGGCCTGTGCTAAAAGACTCTATCTGTATACTGTCAATGTAAGGTTTAAATGAAATCATTCACTCTCACTCACACACACACACACACACACACACACACACTTGCATGACCATCATGTGACACAATTGTCTTATCATGTCACAAAGATGTAAGTCACAAAATGAAAAATAATGAATGGATAAAAAACACCAAAAAAAATGTCCAGAGAAAATAAAATTGAATAGCACTTTTTTGCAAAATACAACATTGACTTTTTTCTTTTAACAATAAATCCTAGTAATGCTAAGAATGCATTAAAGTAAGTTGGGTTCTTCATTACTGTGGGTAATATAGATGACACGCTTTGGAAAGTCATTTGAAAGTATGTAATAAATGAGAGCTTTTAGGTGTTCAAAATCTCCATCCAAGAATTCCATTTGTGAGGACAATCTATGAAAATAATTTAAAATACATAGGAAAATATACAAATGTGCTTCTCTGTCATATTTCTTCCAATAACAAAGAATGGAAAGCCAAATAGTTAACAGGAGAAACGGCTGCTTATGTAATTTCTGCTTTGGCACATTTACTCAATGAAATCTTATACAGCTATTAAAGATAATGTCAATAAATAGTTTAAAATAATGCATTAAAACTTGTAAAGTCATGTTATGGACAAAAGCAGGATATGAATTTGTTTAAACAGTAAGCTTCACAGTATATAAAACAACCTATTAAAAACTAAAAACCTACTGATTTAATAGTGATCATTTGAGAATGCTAATTAATTTTCTTTATGTTATTTCAATTATTTTTAGTAACAAGCATCAATTTTTTTATTATAGTGATAAGAGTCCAGTGAAATATTCTTTGAACATTCCAATCAGCAAATTCTCTAGCAAAAGGGTAGCAAACAATAACCTCTGGGTCAAATCCAACCTGCCACTGCTTTTTTAAATAAACTTTTATTAGAACAGAACTACACTCATTGATTTATTTATGTATTATTTACCACTGCTTGTGCACTAATATGGTAGAGTCTAGCAGGTGTGATAGAGAACATATGGACCAAAAAATATTTACTCTCTGACTCCTTACAGAGGACATTTGCCAACTTCAGATCTAAAATATTGCACCCTAAAGATCTGACATAACCTAACATCTTGAAAGTTAATACCATTTAAGCCAGGGAAACATTTCAACATCCTGATAGAAAGTGTCTGTCAAATGATAAAATTGCTGGTGATTTTTGAGGTGGTAGTGTTTTCTTTCCAATTTTATAAATTCTACACAGGTAACTATAGATTTCTCATTTAGAAGGGACTAGTGGCAATATATACTATTATTACATTCATGCTGGCAATATGTGGAGTTAATAAAAAGAATGCAAGAATGGTAAGGGAGGACAACTTCAGCTTTGAAAGGTAAGGATGATTCCTAGTGGCTGACTTAACTGGATATGGGATGGTCTTGCTCAGGCATCCGGCTATTTCTTGGGTGATATTAAATTTAGTGTGAATATTTGGAAAACATATTTATGGGAAAATAGGCACAAGGGCTGAGAAAGTGCTTCATTCTTGCCACTTGGAGAACCTGAGATCTGGGGCAAGATGGGAGTCAAGTAATGGATCTGCCATACTCATTTGGAAGACCCAGGTCATTGAACATTGCTAACAACCCCAAACTTTATTCTATACCATCTATTTATCAATCCAAGGACACGGAGCTCATTCTTCGCTAAGACAGACAAACCCATAGATGTTCTTGCTTATGAGTAACAAAAAGATAACCTGATATTTTTTTTGTACCCAATAACTCTTAACATCGTTTTGAAAAATTTCAGATTTCTCTCCTCAATTGTCATGATGAACCAGCATCATCTCCTGCCTCCGGCAGCTCAGCCTGTGGAACATGCACTGGGACTTGGAGATGTGGCAAGAAGGACATGTGTTCCCTCTCTGTTAGTATCTCTGTCTTTTCAGTATCAGCTGTTGCTCTTCACAACCCTGTTCTGGGAAGTATCTGATGGTTGGCTTTCTTGTAGGGTCAGCATGAGCTCTTTTGTAGTCCTTGTAGGGCCTTCTACAGATGCCCAGAATAAGGTACAGCAATGGCTCTCTTTTTTATTCCTCTGTCCATCTGTTTTCTGTATATCTTACAGCTTTGATGATGTGGTCTCTGACCTTAGCCCACCATCAAAAGTGGATCTATGAATCCAAGTAAGACTCCCTTCCTAGTGTTCATCAGATCTGTGAGAATTCACATATGCTGCCTCACTAACTGGCAGGCATTTAGGTTGCTTTCTCTGTCCCTCCTCACTGTTTGCTTCCCACCTGCACAGGTGGGTGCTAGTTAGTTAAAATGTACTCTAAGAAGTCCAGTCCTGGAGAATGCAAGCTACCCAGGTAGGTCTCCAATATTTGTGTGTGATTCCTATGGAGCCACACCCATCTCTTGGCGTTAGTTTTCTAAAGCCAAGAGAACTTCCCTGTGTGTAGGAGAACTTCCTTGTGTGTAGGAGAACTTCCCTGTGCATATGCTACTAGTCCAACAACTCATTACATGGACAAATTTCTTCCTCTATTTTTCACTTGAAATGTCTTTTTACATTGATTGACATGGAGGTGAGTGGATGACTGGGCTGAAGGTGAGAAAGAGATGAAATGCTAGAGGTCTCTTAATAAATACCCAAGAAAAGTTTCTGTGATTATTTGTAGCTCTATATAGATGTTTAGATCACTAATGGTTTCTTGCTTTCAGCCTTGATGACCACTCACAATTTTGGAGCATTAAGCAA